AGTAACCGACTCAATCAACTGGAAGGAAGAGTATCAGTGATTGAGGATCAAATGAATGAAATGAAGCGAGAAGAGAAATCTAAAGAAAAAACAAGAAAAAGAAATGAACAAAGCCTGCAAGAAGTATGGGATTATGTAAAAAGACCAAATCTACATCTGATTGGGGTGCCTGAAAGTGAGGGGGAAAATGGAACCAAGTTGGAAAACACTCTTCAGGATATCATCCAGGAGAACTTCCCCAACCTAGTAGGGCAGGCCAACATTCAAGTTCAGGAAATACAGAGAACACCACAAAGATACTCCTCGAAAAGAGCAACTCCAAGACAAATAATTGCCAGATTCACCAAAGTTGAAATGAAGGAAAAAATGTTAAGGGCAGCCAGAGAGAAAGGTCGGGTTACACACAAAGGGAAGCCCATGAGACTAACAGCAGATCTCTCTGCAGAAACTCTCCAAGCCAGAAGAGAGTGGGGGCCAATATTCAACATTCTTAAAGAAAAGGTACTGGCAGGAATTTCATCCAACATGTAAACTAAAGTTTCATAAGTGAGGAGAAATAAAATCCTTTACAGATAAGCAAATGCTTAGAGATTTTGTCACCATCAGGCCTGCCTTACAAAGAGACCCAGAAGGAAGCACTAAACATGGAAAGGAACCGGTACCAGCCATTGCAAAAACATGCCAAAATGTAAAGACCATCGAGGCTAGGAAGAAACTGCATCAACTAACAAACAAAATAACCAGTTAATATCATAATGGCAGGATCAAGTTCACACATAACAATCTTAACCTTAAATGTAATGGACTAAATGCTCCAATTAAAAGACACAGACTGGCAAACTGGATAAGAGTCAAGACCCATCAGTCTGCTGTATTCAAAGACCCATCTCAGCTGCAGAGACGCCACATAGGCTCAAAATAAGGGATGGAGGAAGATCTACCAAGCAAATGGAAAACAAAAAAAAGCAGGGGTTGCAATCCTGGTCTCTGATAAAACAGACTTTAAACCATCAAAGATCAAAAGAGACAAAGAAGGCCATTACATAATGGTAAGGGATCAATTCAACAGGAAGAGCTAACTATCCTAAATATACATGTACCCAATACAGGAGCACCCAGATTCATAAAGCAAGTCCTTGAGACTTACAAAAAGAGACTTAGACTCCCATACAATAATATTTGGGAGACTTCCAACACTCCACTGTCAGCATTAGACAGATCAACAAGACAGAAAGTTAACAAGGATATCCAGGAATTGAACTCATCTCTGCAGCAAGCAGACCTAATAGACATCTACAAAACTCTCCACCCCAAATCGACAGAATATACATTCTACTAAGCACCACATCACACTTATTCAAAATTGAACACAAATTGAAGTAAAAGCACTCCTCAGCAAATGCACAAGAACAGAAATTATGACAAACTGTCTCTCAGACCTGTTTACAATCCCAACTAGAACTCAGGACTAAGAAACTCAATCAAAACCACTCAACTACATGGAAACTGAATAACCTGCTCCTGAATGACCACTGGGTACATAACAAAATGAAGGCAGAAATAAAGATGTTCTTTGAAACCAATGAGAACAAAGATACAACATACCTGAATCTCTGGGACACATTTCCAAAGCAGTGTGTGAGAGGGAAATTTATAGCACTAAATGCCCACAAGAGAAAGCTGAAAGATCTAATATTGACAACTAACATCTAGCTACAAGAACTAGAAGTAAGAGCAAACACATTCAAAAGCTAGCAGAAGGCAAGAAATAACTAAGATCAGAGCAGAACTGGAGGAGATAGAGACACAAAAAACCCTCCAAAAAAATCAATGAATCCAGGGTTGGTTTTGAAAAGATCAACAAAATTGATAGACCACTAGCAAGACTAATAAAGAAGAAAAGAGAAGAATCAAATAGATGCAATAAAAAATGATAAAGGGGATATCACTACCGACCCCACAGAAATACAAACTATCATCAGAGAATACTATAAACACCTCTACGCAAATAAACTAGAAAATCTAGAAGAAATGGATAATTTCCTGGACATTTACACTCTCCCAAGACTAAACCAGGAAGAAGCTGAATTCCTGAATACACCAATAGCAGGCTCTGAAATTGAGGCAATAATTAATAGCCTACCAACCAAAAAAATCCAGGACAAGATGGATTCACAGCTGAATTCTACCAGAGGTACAAGGAGGAGCTGGTACCATTCCTTCTGAAACTATTCCAATCAATAGAAAAAGAGGGCATCCTCCCTCATTTTATGAGGCCAACATCATCCTGATACCAAAGCCTGGCAGAGACACAACAAAAAAGAGAATTTTAGAACAATGTATCCCTGATGAACATCGATGTGAAAATCCTCCAATAAAAATACTGGCAAACTGGATCCAGCAGCACATCAAAAAGCTTATCCATCCTTGATCAAAAGTGGGCTTCATACCTGGGATGCAAGGCTGGTTCAACATATACCAAATCCAATAAACATAATCCAGCATATAAACAGAACAAACAAAAACCACAGAATTATCTCAATAGATGCAGAAAGGAAACTTTGACAAACCAACAGCCCTTCATGCTAAACACTCTCCAATAAATTCAGTATTAATTTAGCATTATCTCAAACTAATAAGAGCTATTTATGACAAACCCACAGCCAATATCATACTGAATGGGCAAAAACTGGAAAATTCCCTTTGAAAACTGGCACAAGACAGGGATGCCCTCTCACCACTCCTATTCAACATGAATTGGAAGTTCACAATAGGAGCAATCAGGCAAGAGAAAAGAAATCAAGGGGATTCAGTTAGGAAAAGAAGAAGTCAAATTGTCCCTCTTTGCAGCTGACATGATTGTATATTTAGAAAACCCCATTGTCTCAGCCCAAACTCTCCTTAAGCTGATAAACTTCAGCAAAGTCTCAGGATACAAAATTAATGTGCAAATGTCACAAGAATTCTCATACACCAGTAACAGACAAACAAAGAGAGCCAAATCATGGAATGAACTTCCATTCTGGTGCTTCAAAAAAGAGAATAAAATACAGGAATCCAACTTACAAGGGATGTAAAGGACCTCTTCAAGGAAAACTACAAACCACTGCTCAGTGAAATAAAAGAGGACATAAACAAATGAAAGAGCATACCATGCTCATGGATAGGAAAGAATCAATATCGTGAAAAGTAAGCCGCTTTGCCCAAGGTAATTTATAGATTCAATGCCATCCCCATCAAGCTACCAATAGGTTCTTCTGGGAATTGGAAAAAACTGCTTTAAAAGTTCATATGGAACCAAAGAGCCCGCATCTCAAGACAATCCCTACATCAAAGAACAAAGCTGGGCATCACATACCTGACTTCAAACTATACTACAAGGCTACAGTAACCAAAACAACATAGTACTGGTACCAAAACAGAGATATAGACCAATGGAACAGACCAGAGTCCTCAGAAATAATACCACACATCTACAGCCATCTGAGTCCTCAGAAATAATACCACACATCTACAGCCATCTGATCTTTGATAAACCTGACAAAAACAAGAAAAGGGGAAAGGATTCCCTATTTAATAAATGGTGCTGGGATAATTGGCTAGCCATAAGTAGAAAGCTGAAACTGGATCCTTTCCTTACTTCTTATACGAAAATTAATTCAAGATGGATTAGAGACTTAAATGTTAGACCTAAAACCATAAAAACCCTAGAAGAAAACCTAGGTAATACCATTCAGGACATAGGCATGGGCAAGGACTTCACGTCTAAAACACCAAAAGCAATGGCAACAAAAGCCAAAACTGACAAATGGGATCTAATTAAACTAAAGAGCTTCTGCACAGCAAAAGAAACTACTATCAGAGTGAACAGGCAACCTACAGAATGGGAGAAAATTTTTGCAATCTACTCATCAGACAAAGGGTTAATATCCAGAACCTACAAAGAACTCAAACAAATTTACAAGAAAAAAACAAACAACCCCATCAAAAAGTGGGCAAAGGATATGAATAGACATTTCTCAAAAGAGGACATTTATACAGCCAACAGACACATGGAAAAATGCTCATCATCACTGGCCATCAGAGAAATGCAAATCAAAACCACAATCAGATACCATCTCACACCAGTTACAATGGCAATCATTAAAAAGTCAGGAAACAACAGGTGCTGGAGAGGATGTGGAGAAATAGGAACACTTTCACACTGTTGGTGGGATTGTAAACATTATGGAAAACAGTATGGCGATTCATCAAGGATCTAGAACTAGAAGTACCATATGACCCAGACATTACTGGGTATATACCCAAAGGATTATAAATCATGCTGCTAAACATGCACACGTATGTTTATTGCGGCACTATTCACAATAGCAAAGACTTGGAATCAACCCAAATGTCCATCAGTGACAGACTGGATTAAGAAAATGTGGCACATATACACCATGGAATACTATGCAGCTGTAAAAAAGGATGAGTTTGTGTCCTTTGTAGGGACATGGATGCAGCTGGAAACCATCATTTTCAGCAAACTATCACAAGAACAGAAAACCAAACACCGCATGTTCTCACTCATAGGTGGGAACTGAACAATGAGATCACTTGGACTTGGGAAGGGGAACATCATACACAGGGGCCTATCACGGGGAGGGGGGAGGGGGGAGGGATTGCATTGGGAGTTATACCTGATGTAAATGACGAGTTGATGGGTGCTGACGAGTTGATGGGTGCAGCACACCAACATGGCACAAGTATACATATGTAACAAACCTGCACGTTATGTACATGTACCCTAGAACTTAAAGTATAATTTAAAAAAAAAAAAAAAGAGTTAAATAAAGAAACGTTTTTATAAATGGATTTTTAAAACACTTGAGAGTCTCTTCGACATAGCAAACATTAGAATCACAATCAAATTGAAAAAGAAAACAGTGGATTGTCATTCTGCAAATGTAAACAAAACATGCTACTGATTTCCAAATAGAGTGCTTTCTTGAAACCTGAAGAAATATGCCCCAAATGTGTAACGTATCTGTTCCTCTGAATTCTTACTACATGCATTTTAAATAAGTGGCATTTTATTCTTTCTCCAGCCCTAACTAATTTATGTCACTATTCTTCATTTGAATTCCATTAGAAGTTTTTATGTTTCCTACTTTCAATACGCGGTTTTAAAGTTAAGGAGCTTCGCCAAACAGTTAAATGTATATCCACACTGTCTTTCTCCACATGTTGCATTAACTGGAGCTCTTTTCTCTGTTGTGCTGTATGACGCTTTTTGTGCAACGCATTTCCAATGGCTTAATCACTCTATAAAGTCATGAGGAACTGTTTGCTTTATTTTGAGGAATCATGGTTCAGAGTCCAAGCCACTGGAGTTTATGTCCATATTAGGAGGTTGATTGAATAACCTTAAAAAAAAAAAAAAAAAAAAGAATTCTCCATTTTATTTAGTTTTCTGAAACAACTTGAAATTTTATTAAATTTTCAGTACATTATGTTTAAGCTAATAATAGGTATAAGCTCCAGGAGTGAAACTCCAGTTCATTCATTTTTCTTTCTGACAATCTAGTTTCATTTTCTGAGAAGTCCTGAGTTTCTCATAATTAATATTATTTGTGTGTGTATGTGAGTGTGTGTGCTACAGAATTATGAGAATTTTCGTATGATTGACATAAGCTGATTTTACAGATTGAAAGTATTTACTTCCTTGAGAATTATTTTCTTGGAGATTGTGTAGTACTTTTAAATGTAATTGATCTGTCTTAATTCTTATATCTCCTCTGGCATACAATATATTGTTAGTTCTCCCAGATCAAGACATGATAGCTAACCAACTGTATAGGGTTTTATACTTTCTTTTTTCTATTTTACTTATTTATTTATTTATTATTGGGTTTTATACTTTCAAAGGCTTATCTCATACACAAATACATTTTTTGATCTCCTAATAACCACGTGAAGTACACAAAGCATGAAATATTTTTGTTGACAATTTATAGATGAGAAAACTGAGGCCCAAACAGGTCTTCTGACTCTAAATTCCATATTCTGTATATAACCTGAGTATATAAAATAGTGAAAAGTCAGGATTCTTAGAACTGCCCATGATTACTGTCAATATGTTGAGATTCCTCTTTTGAAAATTCCATTAACTCAATCTCTGCCTTTAGAGCTAACCCCTCTTTTCTCCTTTACCTCCCCACTCCTGCTTAGGCTGCCTGTCTTTGTGCTGCTCCGTCCTGAATCCTGTTTCAGTAGACTTTGGGAACCCAGAGTAGTGAAAAACTTTGCAAAACTCAGTGTCAATCTAAAACCCGGAGTGCAAATCTAGTCAGGGAATGAATTATCTACAGTGTGAAAATTCTAGGGACTGCACCAGGTGCTTTCCATCTGGTAATTCTTCTATTACATATAACAATCTCTGACAGATATTTTCAGCCACACTTTAGGATGAGCTTAGACATAGAAATGTTAAATGACCTGTCAAAATTCCCCTGATATGCAGGGAGGATTCTAGGATTCACCTCAAGGCCCGTGTGACCTAAAACTTTGGATCATTCCACTACATCATTCTCTCAGAACATGCATGCAAGAGTGCTTGTTCTCGCAAGTGGGGTTTCTGAAGACAGCATAGCCTTTTGTTAGGTTGTTGTTTAGTTGACCTTCGTTCAAAAGCATAAAAACATTCAGCCTTTCTTTTAAAGCAAAAAGTTTACATTTGCTATTATCTTCACTTACGTAACTGGAAGACCTGACATATACAATGAGCTTTAGAATTCCTCACTCAGATCATAGGAAAGGATTTACTCTGAGAAGCTGTGCAAACTGTGGTTATCGAAGAGGATTGGATTGAAATCAAAAGCAATTTGGATTACAACTGTCAAAAAAAGTCAAGGTTAAGCTGCATTACATGATATTGGCTTATAGATTGGCTATACTCCATAGATGACATATTTAATTCATGACAGCATTTGCAACTCCTAAAATAAGAAAAGAGCATGCAAAACATAAACTCGCGGATAAGGACAATCAGGGAAATGCAAAGGCAGAGTAGAAAATGCTTGTTTAAAATTTCAGTAAGTATCTGTCTTTTGAAAAAGTTTTTCAAAATTTCACACAATTAAAGCCACCTAAATTGTTATTTAATTATGTTTAGTTTTTAATGCCCAAAGTTTAGAATTATCTTTTTTCAAAGCAAATTATCTCCCCAATCTAAGAACACTCTCTAACTCCTATGTTTGTTGGATTTTCAGTCAGATATGTTCAATTCTAAAACAATTCAGAGTAATTTTGATATAGATGAGTGTGGGAGATGGACTTGTCTAGAACTAGTTGTGTTCACAAAACAAATGAACATTCCCAAGTTTACAGAGACACGTATACAAGTAATTCTTACCTTAAGAAAATCAAATATATAAATGTTTGATTTATAAAGCAGGCAAATCATGCCTTATGTTCACTATAGAAGGCTCTATTGCTGCTCTTTGTAATACAGATAACACAGATTTCAGTTATCAAGACAACAGAGACATTTACAATGAAAACTGCCAGGTTCTAGGGAATTTTTTTTAAAAACATATATTCTTGATTATTGACTGCATTTTCTAGTTGCTTTAAATGAATCCTCTTCTATCCTTCTCCCCGAAAAAATCATATTCCTACCTAAAGTTCTAAGTAAATTTGGAAGGTATCTTTGTATATGTGGCATTGAAATATGCACCAATTCTTCAAACTTAAAGTATCAGAGAAAATGTTCTTTTCCACAAAACAACAAAACCAAGAATGGGCTACTTTGGGTGCCAATCTTTAAAATGCACGGAACTTTTACAGGAGCCAAGAGGAATTTCCCTGGGTCAGGCTGTTTCTCTTAGTTAATTGCCTTGGAATTATGAGCCTGCTTTTCCCTGCAGTGTAGAAATATTAACCCTTGCAATGGCATGCTCATAAGCCAATTAATAACAATATCTTGACTCTTTGTGTTTTGTGATTAACCTTCACAAACCTAAAGGGGTTGAATAAATCTTTGAGATAAAGTAGTTTCCATCAAACATCTTAATCTACTGACAAATGGGGACTAAAAATAACTCTGGCATAAAAGTGTTGGGGGGAAAGCCAAATTGAGTCATGTTCGCTAACCACTACAGATCCCTTCAAAAAGATAATACACTTCCATATAGGACACAACCAGAACATTAAAACTACTGGTAAGGGCTGGGTGTTGTGGCTCAGCCTGTAATCCCAGCACTTCGAGAGGCCGAAGTGGGCATATCAACTGAGGTCAGGAGTTTGAGACCAACCTGGCAAAAATGGCAAATCCCTGTCTCTACTAAAAATACAAAATTAGCCAGGTGTGGTGGCAGGTGCCTATAATCCCAGCTACTGGGAAGTCTGAGGCAGGAGAATCGCTGGAACTCAGGAGGCAGAGATTGCAGTGAGCTGAGGAGGTCACCCCATTGCACTCCAGCCTCGGTGACAAAGTGAGACTGTCTCAAAAAAAAAAAAAAAAAAAAAAAAAAAAAAAAAAAAAACAGACTTTTGCCATAAAGTGAGAAAATCATTTAAATATTCTAATTATAAAACTATCAAAGCTTTTTTTCTATCTTTAGGTTTATTTGTGGATAAAATATGATTATAATAGTTTGGTGCCAAAAATCTCACAGCAAAAGATTATAAAGAATGTTCTATGCAGACAAAAAAACATAATGATCAATTTTTCATTATTTTTGAATAGACAATTTCAAAAACAGTGTTGAGAAAATCAGTGTAAGATTTGTTTAAAAGAAAAGTTAAGACTCCTGCCTCACACAAGATGTATTTTTTAAATCCAAATGGAAAAAGAGCTAAATGTTAAAAGAAAACAAAAGATACATGCTATCAACTATAAAAGTATTAAAATGAAACATAGGTACACATATCTATAACTAGGACTGAGGAAGGCTTTAAAACATAAATACCAGAATTCATCATAAATATTTATCTTAAATTCATCATAAACTATAAAAAGTTTGCTTCAAATAATGATTTCTTAAACAAAGTTAAGACAAATTATAAATTGGGAAACAATATGTAAAACAAACATAAGAAAGGATAAATACTCATATGAAGAGCTCCTATGAATCTATATTATATAAAAATGACAAAAAATAGAAAAATTTCAAAAGAACAAAAATGCAAATTGCCAATAAATGTATGAAAAGATGTTTAACCTCTTCGATAATAATGGGGATAAAAATTAAAATAATGTAATATCTTTTTTGTTCCCACTAGATTAGCAACATATAAAGTTGATAATATCCAACACTGGAGAGAAAAATGAACACTCTTACAAACTGTTGCCAGGAGTATCGTTTGGTAATACCTTTTTAGAAGGCAATTTAGGCCAGGTGTGGTGGCTCATGCCTTCAATCCCAACATTGTGGGAGGTAAAGGCAGGAGGATAGCTTGAGCCTAAGAATTTGAGACCAACCTAGGCAACATAGTGAGACCCCATTTCTATATAAGAAAAGGTTTTTTTAAAAAAAAATTAGCCACAAATAGTGGCATCTGCCTATAGTCCCAGCTGCTTGGGAGGCTGAGGTGGGAGGATCTCTTGAGCCCAGGAGTTCAAGAGACCTTGTCTCCAAAAATAAAAAGTAAAAATTTAAAAATAATGTAACTTAACTAGAACATTGGACTTAAATTAAATTTAAGACCTGAAACTATACACTTCAAAGAAAACATAGAGACACAATTGCCTTTATGTATTTGGCAATGTATTTTTAAATATAACACAAAGACAAGTAACAAAAGAAAAAATAAATTGGACTTGATGAAAATTTAAAACTTTTGTTCATCAAAGGACACTATCGGCCAGGTGTGGAGGTTCACGCCTTTAATCCTAGGTCTTTGGGAGGCCAAGGTGGGTGGATCACTTGAGGCCAGGAGTTCAAGACCAGCCTGGCCAACATAGCGAAAACCCATCTCTACTAAAAATATGAAATATTCGCCAAACGTGATGATACCCACCTGTAATCCTAGCTAGTCAGGAGGCTGAAGCAGGAATACGTCTTGAACCTGGGAGATGAAGGTTGCAATGAGCTGAGATTGCACCACTGCACTCCAGCCTGGGCGGCAGAGCAAGACTATATCTCAAAAAAAGAAGAAAAAAAAGGACACTACTAAGAAAATGAAAAGACAACCCACCCACAGAATAGGAAAAAATATTTGTAAATCACATCTAGTGCAGTATTGTTGTCCAGAAGATATGAATTCCTATAACTCAACAACAAAGTAACAAAAATAAAATTTAACAGGCAAAGGATTTGAATAGACATTTTCCAAAGAAGATATACAAATGTGCAAATGGCCAATAAGCACATGAAAAGATGTTCAATATCATTAATCTTTAGGGAAAGGCAAATCAAAACAA